TGGGGGAAAGACCTCACCCTTCACGTTTTGAGCCCAGAAGCGGTGGCAGCCCCAGGAGGCTTTCAGCCAGGGATGCTGAAACGTCAGGGAAGCCTCGGTCCGCTCCAGGCATGGTGGAGCCGGTGCTGGGTTCCCCGCGCGGCCGGGGTCGATAATGAGGAAAGTTTGCCAGCGAGTGTCCTTTGTGCTGCGTGGAGAGGGGTGTGGGCAGCCGCCGACTCCGCACTTCCCAGGGCGCTGCCGCGACTGCCACCATGGAGGGGAGTCCCTGTCTGGTAGACCCAGGTAGGGTGAAAAGATCAAGTAGCTGGAGGGGCGCTGAGCACCCGGGACTGGTGGGAAAACCCGTCCCAGGACGGATGTGAGGGAGCTGGCATGACACTTGCAGTGGGAGGTTCGGGAGGTGGTACCTGCTCTGGGGAGAGGGGGACCTTGCCTGCTGGGTTCACCGCCCCAGCCACAGGCAATGAATGCATGAATGAATGACCCGGTGTGAATAGTTTTGAGGCTTTCGAACCACACAGGCAAAGGCCGAGAGTCCAGGAAAATGACCTTTCTCTAAATCTCATGCCACTTTGAGCACTAACATTTTCATTCCCAGACCTAGATAATAGGGGAAAAGTGGAATTCAGTGAGGGAACAGGTACTGCTGACTTGGGCTTTTGCTTGTAGGATTTTTTTTTAAGACATATATATATATATATATATATATATATATATATATATATATATATATATATATATTTGCAATTTGCTTTGCCACGATGGTCTGAAGGATCAGTATTACTGGAATATGCTCGTTACTTCATTTTTAAGAGCTAGGACTAGAGGAGTGGAAAGTTCAGGAAGGTACTTTGATCAGTGTTAAGTCCTAGAGTGAAAGTGGTGTTGTTGGCTCCAGGGCCACGTGTGTCCCAAAGTCTCTGATTTGCATGCAAATGTGAGCGAATCCTGGCAGATGTCTGGCCTCATCCATTCACATGAAGGAATTTGAAAAGACAAGGAGTCTTTAGTTAACAATAGACCTTAAGAAAATGGAATAAAGGCACAGTGTGAGTTTTTCTGTTTGGAAATTCCAAGTCTTGCTGACACCTTTATTCAAGAGCCAAATTCTCTGAGTGCTTTTGTACTGAAAGCGCCAAGTACTGCTTGCTCTTTACCTGGCTGTGTGTCTTTGTGCAATATTCAAGCCGGATGTTCTGAGCTAGTGAGGAGAATGGTTATATGAAGCAGACAGTAACTTAATTCCACTTTTGGTTGTTTAAAGTAATTTCTGAATTGACCCCTCAACTTTTAGAGTTTCTTCTCTCTCTCTTTTTTTTATGGAATCTCATCTCCTGCTTACATTTGCTCTCCATCCTCAGAGATACACACTAGAGGAGAAGATATTTGTAGCTGACTATAGGAAGATCTCACTAGCAAGTCCATAGCCCAATCAAAATTGTTTTAGTAACAGGCCCCAAACTTGTAGAACTGCAGGTGATGAAACCATCACGTTCCTAGTCACCTGAGGGGTTTTTGGGTCACAGGACAGAACAGCGGATGGGGAGGCAGTCTTGCCATGGACGCCCAAATAGGGAACTTTCTGCCTTGTCTAATAGTAGCTAATACACAGCTGCACTGCTCACCTCCTGGCCTTGTGCAACCGCTGAACAAAAGGCAGGCAGTGTGGGCCGCACGTGAGCCCCTGGGATTATACCTACTGACAAGCCAGCCCAGTGGCCTCTTCTTTTGTCAGCCCCAAACACTGTCGAAGGGAAAAAGAGCCTATTCACTGAACAGCGTTTGCCCCTGTATTCTATATATTCACTGAAAGGGACATTAAAATACAAC